GGTATGTTGAAATGATAGATCGTATTAGTTCAAATCTTTCCCGCGTAAAAAGTAATCGTATGGCAACAGCTGAACAACAGAAACGTTTTAAACAACAATGTATAGTATTTGCAGGCTTCATTGTTCTTCAGAATGGTAACTTTTTATTTCTAAACCAACAAACAAAGACAAATTTTATCAAAGAATAAGTTGTTTATTTTAGAATGTTCGTGCAAAATTACACGAGGGCTATTTGTGCATAACCATTCCTAATTTTTAATTGGTAGACTAGAGGGAAAGCAAACTAGTCAACAGGGCACGCCCACCAATTCTTGAGATACCCTTATCGGAACAAATAGTGGGACTTAACCGTCATTACATTGCACCCACGGCCCTAAAATGAGACGCGTGTTTTTGCAGCAACGGGACACAAACATTGAATCTTTTAGTTCAAAGTCCGAACACACGACCAACCCAAAAGAATTAGTAACATACGAACCGTGGAAAAAAAGTTTAAAACGTTCATTAGTAACGTTTTATTAATTATAAACATGATTTTACTTTTTTGTTTGAACATTTTAAGATGGAAAAGTATTTTCATTGTTTTTAATCTCCTAGCTAAATTTCAATTTAAGATACTGAAAAATCTATCAAAGTTCTGACATGAACGAAAAATATAGTAATAACACTGAAATATTACTTCAGTCCTATTTTGACAGTTTTTGTGTTTTTCATTTCTGCTCATTCTGTACTTTTATATCATATAATTCATCTATTGATATATGAAATCTTTTTTTTTATTTGCTACAGTTGTGAACGCCTTTTGTGAGTGGCAGTTGGGGCCTATTTTGATGGATTGTGAACCAAGATGTGATGGAAATCGAGAAAAAGCACGAGCGAATTTTATTGCGAAAATAATCAGTTTAATAATTAAATTAAATGACTTTCTTCATTTTAACTTAATTTCTATATCTTATCTTTTCGACTCTATCTGCAGCTGACAAATACATTTTCAGAATCTCCCTCTATTTACGGTGACCTTTTATTTTGAACACAAAACTCAAATCAGGACGTCTATGGTTAAATATATGCTATTAGATACAGATAATTGAAATCACAAATTATACATGGTTACAATCTCAGGTTAACTTTACATATAGCTCCCACCAGGTCCCCCGGTGGGGTAGCGGTAAGTCTACTGACTTACAACACTAAAATTCTGAGTTCGATTCCCCGCAGTGGACACAGCAGATTGCTCAGTGTGGCTTTGTTCTCAAACAAGCGTACATAAACACACATGCTCCCAGCATTAAGGTAATTCGTTATCCCCTCGGTGGGATAGCGGTAAGTCTACTGACTTACAACACTAAAATTCTGGATTCGATTCCCCGCAGTGGACACAGCAGATTGCTCAGTGTGGCTTTATTCTAAAACAAACGTACATAAACACGCATGCTCCCACCATTAAGGTAAATCGTTATGCATTTAAAACGTTGTCTTAGCGTAAAAGATACAAAATTTGACCACAGAGACTTGGGAAGCTGGAAGGGTGGAGTTTAGATGTTTAAAGTTGTATAACTTGTACCGACACTCGATGGTCAAAACTTCTTTTTATATTTAGCCATAGCAGTCTTCATAGGAGTGAATGAGCATAAAGATGCGTAATTGGTTTTCTAATAAATCTTTATTTATAAAATAAATCCCCTAAAATTGTTTTATAAAAAACACGCTTCTTAATGTTGTGTATTTCAATATATATAGAAATTACCCTCTATGAAAATGACAACAAAATTAATGAAGGAATAGTCCCCTCCCCAAGTGTGGGTGACCAGTGAAATAAAATCTGTTTTATCCACTGTTGAATTTCGACACTTAAGCTAGAGTTAGATGATAGTCTTAGAGCAAAAATTAATATGTTTCTTCTTTCGGTTGTGGATAAGCATAAAGCAACATCTGAGCTGTACCCATCGAGGGTATCTAAATCCGATTTCTAGAGTTATAAGGATGCAAGACTTACCGCCGAGCCACCAGGGGACAATTAATAGATGTAACGTATCATATACAAAGAGAAAGATATCGGATTGCTTTAAACATGTTCTTTGGTAGTTCTGCAGTAAGCTTGAGGGCATATAACAATAAAATCCGAAGTTCGACCTCTGCTGTGGACACAGTGCATGATAAACGTTAGATGGTCACGGGTGCTATTTTACAGAAGCGATTAAATAATGGAGAACTTATTCAAAGTCCCCCATTCTCCATTACCTGTCTGTTGTTGTTATTGTACTTTTAACGCAAAGCTCATAATGGGCTATCTGCACATTGTCCACAGTGGAGAATTGGATCCCGGATTTCAGCGTCGTAAGTACGTAAACTTGTGGGACCAAGTTTTTGCGCTTACGTATATAGCGGAATTAACTCCTCAAAACGCTTAAAACTGCAAAGGATAATTTCAAAACTTATTTCATAATGCCTCAAATAAACAACGCTATACAATCTCAGCCTTACGTCCGCGGATTTAAGGCTAAAGGATTGGAGATATTTAAACCAACAACCCGATTATTATAGGTCCATTTTGAACTATTGGTCAGAGAGAAGGCAGCCAATTAACAGCACCCCAATACCCACGAACCACGCTAAGGGGTTTACCGTCACTCTTATAACTTACCCCACAACTTAGAGAGAGAGAGGGAACATTTTGTGACCTGGCTCGTCAGCTACGAAACAATCCAGAGTTCTACCGCAGAGCCAACCTTTCGGGTCACATTATACTGACCACTTCCGAAGTGAGAACTCAATATGAACTTCCAGCATTTTCTTACAAGATTGATCAATAATGTGGATAAACAACTAGGAAATGTGACTTCATGTGACTGTACTGTTTTTGCGTATAAAATTGAAAGCTTGTACAAGACATGGACACACTCCATGTTCATTTAATATTAACAACACATTTATATATAAAATATATGACGAGTCATTTATACAAGTCGACTCCCGTGTGATCTTAGGCAATTTTTTTCAAAATTTCGCCTTTGCCTATGGTGAAGACAAGTCCACCTGTCGAAACTGCTGAGGATTTAATGTTTGCTTTTATTTAATGCGATTTACCTTTTTTTTTATCCTACGTGTTGTTATCACGAACATTCAAAACTGCATATCTAAAATAAATGTTTATTTTGTTTGTTTTGATAAATTTCGCACGAAGCTAAATGAGGGATATCTGTGCTATCCGTCCATAAATTTGAAGTGATAGCCCATAGAGAAGGCAGCGAGTCAAGACCACCCACCGCCAACTCTTAAGAAACTCTTGTCAAACCGAATAGTAAGTAGGATCTGACCGTTATGCACTCTCAGCCCCAAGATGCGTTGTGCGATTTAGTTTTGCGGTAAAGAGACGCGAACCACGGAACCTCAGCTCCACGGTCCGGCATGTTATCCACTGAGCCACACCCGATCGAAGATAAATATTGATGTACCCTTGGCTGACCGAAAGACTTTATTGAAAAATCCAAAAACGTTTTGCAATACACATGGTGAATTGTGATCTGCAAGAGTGATTGTTTTGCACAACACCACTGGAGGGGGGGGATCTCTTATTTCCCTTCACGCAATCGCCGAAGTACAAAAAGATATTTTTTTCCTTATATAGTAATTACTTTATAAATAAATGTGCTTATTCATATGTGCTGTAAAAGGAGGGTAATTATAAAAATAAGTGTCTTTCAACGCCACACTACTCACACTTACGTTTCTCAATGTTGATTATTATTCATTATGGGCCCCCTCCAGTGTCACAAAACTTACAACGCTAAAAACCGGGTTTCGATTCCCGTAGTAGGCAGAGAACAGATAGCCCATTGTGTAGCTTTGTGCTTAATTCCAAACAAACAAAATTCATTATGTGTATTGTATCAAAATTAAACAATTGTTTGTTCGTTTTGAATTTCGCGCAAAGCTACACGAGGGAAGCAGCTAGTCATCACCACCCACCGCCAACTCTT